GTGCTCTATTAACGGAGCACTCTTAATTTTAAATTTTCAAAATGGCCGTCCAATATGGCGGTCGTTAACTTTACTTGCTATTATCTCAGGAAGTATCTGCCCAAGAGCGACGGGAAAAGATGCTTCAAGTTTCCCTAGTCACGGACTTTCGGAAGCTGCACTTTAAATGTATGTAAAATTCCGACTCTACATAGAGCCGATTTAGGTCGGGTTCGATAGTCCTGGGCGGACCCCTGTTACCATCGAAAATCCCGCCGCTGTAGGACTTATACTTTCCGAGATATTTTATAATTAAAATTTTGCAAATGGCGTCCAAGATGGCCGCCAAAAGTGTAACTTCGGTTCTATCAATCCGAATTTAATCGTGTTTGGGCTCGTTGGATGAGGTTTCACTAGTCCAGTACGTAGGTTTGGACTCCAACGATATTTAGGTTACGCCCGATTTTTAATTTTGAATATTTACTGAAAAACACTAATTTTGATGTAGTTTCAGATGTTTACCTAATTTATTAACAAAATTTGTTGAGTACGCTTTTATTTGTATTTACCTTAGTGTTTGGACGTAGCAAGGAATTTACGTTTGATTAGTTCTATTTTTAAATTGTATTTTAAAATTTCAGATTGAAGGGGCTGCTGCTCAAAAACTACCCTCGCTAATTTTATTTAGACTTTTGGGGGATCGGTTTTAAGTCACCCCCTACCCTTCTGCGCTTCTAAATTTGAAATAATTTAATAAACAAAAAAGTAAGATCTCAATTCGCGATCTTTTACAATCTTAACGCATTTATTTGCGTCTGGCGCACTTATTATGACGTACTATGGAGGTTAAAATATTCCTAATCGATACATAATTTATCAAGATTTTTTAATATGTTGTCGCGCTACACGGCTATATCACAAGTACGAAAAATTTTTACTAAATATTGTGCCTATTGTTTATAATAAATTACTTGAGAATTTTCCCAACCGCAAAATAACACGCCAATTTGTCGATATATCTCACATAACCAACTTATCGGTAAGGTGCTTTGCAGTTGGTAAAATTTTTCTTTGTTAATTAGAAAATTTATATCTTTAAAACTATTCAATGCAAAAATCTGAATTTTACGCTAATGTATAAACATAAGACTATACTACTAGTACCTAAAATAAAAGATGGAGGTCGCCGATCCCGCTGCTGAGCTGGGGTCCCAGGAACAAAACGGTTTTTTGTTTTCCGGCGGCACTTGTCTTGTTTTTGCAGTATCTCCTAAATTACAGCTCCAAATTTGATTATGACGCCACCGTTTGTTTGTGCTGGTGCTATCGCTTTACGTGCAGCTGTTAGATTTTTGCCCAGGGTGTTTTTTGACGGGGCTCACACACGTGGTGAAAACAGTCTTTTGACAATAGCTCCGGAGGGTGTGATCGGAAAACTCTGGGGTTTTCACCACCTTGTAGGGGACACTAATCCGCTGCTTTTGACACTATAAAAATATGGGGGCGTCGATCGTGTTTGAGCGGCGCACGCCAAAAACTGTTCAAAAATTGCCTCCCACGTGCACGTATTATGTTTTTTGGTCACTTTCGGTGTTTTTTAGTCAAATTTAGTTCACTTCACTTCAATCCAGGTTCTTGAATTTTTGCACAAAGATACACTACACGAAACGACACAATTTGGAACTTTTTTTTCAAGTCGATCGGAGCACTTTGAATATTTTATATGATTTTTGAGCGTGGAGTGGCTTTGTAAACGATGCTCGCAGCGGGAGTTAGCGCGCAACTGGGTTAGGTTAGGTTAGGTTAGGTTAGGTTAGG